TCTGAAGTTTACCCTTACCTTGGAAACTTCTGGATTTTGTCACAAGCTTAACATTGACCAAATGAAATTTAGGGTATCTATAGACCATGGGCCTGTCTGGGTTTTTTACAGTGCAGTTGTAAAGCTGAGCATTTCCCGGGGGGATAGGGTTGTGGGTTTCTAAGAAAAAATTCTGTGAGAGAAAACTGGGAAGACTGAAAAAATTAAGTCCTGTTTCTTTGACGCTGGAAGCCCCTGGGATGTCGTGGGGGTTCGGAGGCTGACTGCCCGCAGACAGACCCTGGCAGCGAAATCAGAGCCCCTCATTGTACTGACGACTTGGGTGTGCTTGGGACTCTTTCAAACCCTTCTTTATTTGCCATTCAGGCAGGAACCATAGACCCAGAAGCTTGTTTTCAAAATCTAGGAAAACAGATGTTTTTGCTTATTTTTCTCTCTCTCGTGCCAAAATGTTCACTGATTTTTTCGCTGGGTTCCGAACTTGCCATATTTTTTCCTTTTAAGACAAACCCCGGGAAAGGGTTCCTCCTAACAACAAAAAAACATTTGTAAAAAACGCAGGGGAAGGATGGCATCTCAAACTGGGAAAGCTCTATTTTAGACTCAAATGAACAAGTTTCAGAATCGGGAGGCAGGGAGGCCTGGAAGACAGAGTGGGACGGATTCATTGAGCTCTGGAAGGGTCTCCCTGGCCTTATCCCCACGCCTGTGTTGCCCAGTGCCCCCCTTTTCCTCCGAGGAAACCACCAGCATTGCATCTAACTGAGCAAGGATTAGACATACGTTGCCTACCACGCGAGGCCAGGGCCACTCACAGTCCCTGACCTGTAAATATGGACAGCTCAGACCCTTTAGGCACTGCATTCATTTTCTATTGTTGCTGTGACAAATAACCACAAACTTAGTGGCTTAAGACAACAGGTATTTATTACCTAACAGTCTGTAGGTCAGGAGTCTGACCCAGGTCTCACTAGGCTGAAATTTAGGTATCAGCAGGGTTGTGCTCCTTTCTGGAGGCTCCTTGGAGAATTCCTTTCCTTTCCTTATCTTTTCCAGCTTCTAGAGGCTGCCCACATTCCTTGGCTTGTGCCTCATTTAAATCCCCCTCATTTAAGGTCAGCTGATTAGCTCCTGAACTCCATGGCAACCTTCATTCCCCTTTGCTATGTAAAGTAGCATGTTTACAGTTTCCAAGAATTGGAACATAACCATCTTGGGGGTTGGGAGAGATTATTGCCTACCCTGGGTATGTAGGTCATCTCTACACTAAATGCAATAATTGTATATAATAGGACTTCTTCAGTTGCAAGAATCAGGATCTAACTAACTCAAGCTAATAAAAAGAAAAGGGTTTTGCTCGCTTGTATACTTAGAAGGAAAATGTGATTGGCTTCAGGCGCAGCAGGATCCCGATGTCCAGCAGCGTCATCAAGGTGCTCTGTTTCTTGGCTTTCTTTGTGGTGGTTTGATTTCCAAGCTCAGGCTACCAGCATGGTGGCTAAAATAGCTCCCAGACAATTCAGACGCTGTTACCAAAAGAAAAGAGGAAAGATCTGAGCAGGCAGAAACCATTGGTGTCCACTCCACCATCTTACTCCTGTCTGTTTCAGCGTCTTATTGCTGGATTTCAGAACCATGCCATATATATATTATTCCCATTACGAGCTCATTTGGCTTCAAGCAACAAAACACTCAAACTTGAAAGAAAGGACTCACCCAGGGCCAGAAAATTGTAAGTTCATTCAGGTTATATATAAGAAGAGGAATTGCATGGTGGTGAAGAGTATGGGTTTTGGAACCAGCCTGGTTGGGTTTAGATCCAATCTATTGGTTGTGTTTAGTGGGCCTCTCTGTGCCTCAGTTTTCTCATATGTAAAATGGGGTTAATAATAGTACCCACATCATGAGCTTGTTGTGAGGTTTAAATATGTTATAAAAATAAAGTGCTTAGAATAGTACCTTGACATAAACATTCAATAAATAATAGCTTTATAATAATTATTCTTATTGTTTCATATTACTATTGTTATCACAAGTAAGCTTCCTGAGGATGACTTAGGGACATGGAAAGCGGTTAGGAACCAAGTCAGATACTTACATGGTTTCTCTGTTTCTAGTTGGGGCTACACAGACTCTTATCTCTGGAACTTTCTC